GGTTGGAGCAGCCTGGGCTGGTGGGAGGTGTCCCTGCCCAGGGCAGGGGTGGGATGGGATGAGCTTTAAGCTCCTTCCAACCCAAACTATTCCATGATTCCATGATTTGTTTCCTGGCTGTTTCTCAGAGCATGCCCAGGGAAGGGTTGAGCTCTATGCTGCAATCTGAGTGCTGCCCTTGCCCTGAGAAGCAGTTTGATCCCAACCTGGATGTGCCAATTCCCAGCTCAGAGCTGTCCCACCCTCTGCAGCTGCTGCTGATTCACTCCCAGGCTCTGGGACAGAGATAGGAGCCATGAGCAGATGGGAAGGAAATCTGCAATCTGCAGTAATCACATCTCTTAATAGCTCCTTGCACAACACTCTGTGCACCCCCAGGCTGGGCTGAGGCTGCTTCCCATGGCTTGGAAAGACAGCGAAGCAGCACAGAACTGTGGAGCCCAACACTGAGGAGGAGGAGGTGACCATGTGCCTGTCCAGGGTCTGTCCATCTAGGGGGACTCACTTGGACAGCAGAGAGCTCTGTGTCTTTGGTGTGTCCCAGCTCCTTCCCTGCCCTGCCATCCCTGGTGGTGCTGCCAACGCCCCGTAAGTGAGATCAGCATCAGCAGGTGCCTAGGACAGCTCCAAACTGCAGCATATGTGGTGTGAAATATTGCTGTCTGTGCCTGGAACAACGTGGCTGAAAGCATTTCCCAGGATAGGCTTTGGACAGGATCTCTGCCAATAGTGGGTCACCCACTGCACCATTGCCACCTGGTTTTGCTTGTAATTTGATGGAACAGCTTGAGGAAACTAACTCTTAGTTTCCTGTGATGGTTTCCCTGGTGACCTGGTTTGGCAGAAGGTCAGTCATGGAAATGGATCATTTTTGCCTCCTGCTTGGTGCAGGGATGAGCAGCTGTTGTCACCTCAGTCCATAGGACAGGTAAAGTGTCATGTCGAGTGGGTTGGCTGGGGCAGGATCAAGCCACTCTCCAGGTCTGTGGGGGATTGGGGTTGTCTACCATGTTCATGGTGTGTCTGTGCCTCAGGAGTGAGGAGACACTGCTCTCCAGCCTTCCTTGTCCATCTCCTTCCCCAGCACTCTCCATCCATGCCCTCCCAGCAGGTTCTGCCTGCTTGGAGGGTTCTGATCCCCACTTGGATCCACCACGTGCTTCCAGAGCATATGTGAATCCTAGGAATGAACCACCTCAGCAAGGATGATCATAGTAATGATAATAACATACGGATTAATGCAGAAAAAATGTCCTCAATGTTTTTTGGAAGCCAGAGATTTTTGGAAAAGCCACAATTTCCTGGTTATGGAATTGGTATGTTTTCCAGCTCTGAGTGACCAAGAGATGCGTTGCGTTCGTTGTAGGATCACGTGGAAGGGGAAGTGCAGAAATGCAGCAGTTCCTCTTGGCTGCTGAAGCTAAGCCCTCCCAGCTCCCATTTTTTGGTATCCTTGGAAAAGAAAGTGCTAATTCCAGAGGTTGCTGATAAAAGAGGCACAGGAGAAGTGTTGAGCTCCGACATCCAAGTATTTCCCTTGAATTATAGAATCCCAGGATGGTTTGTGGTGGAACGATTTTAAAGCTCATCCCATCCCACCCCTGCCCTGGGCAGGGACACCTCCCACCAGCCCAGGCTGCTCCAACCTGGCCTGGAACACTCCCAGGGATGGAGCAGCCACAGCTGCTCTGGGCACCCTGTGCCAGAGCTGTGATCCCTCAGGCTCTGGCGTTTCTTCATCATATACAATCTAAATCTCAGTCTCCTCCATCTTAAGGCCATTCCCTGTGTCCTATCACTCATACCCTTGTGCAAAGACCTTCTCCAACTGGAATTTCCATGAATTCTCACCATTTATTCCTCCAAAGGGACGTGTTGAGGACCAGCTCATCTCACACTCCACTGACTCCTTGCATGTGTTTCTCTGGCCTGGCCTGGCTTCCAGCTCCACCCCTCAGTGTTTTTCCAAGCCAAAAAGGACCTTTATCCTTGGGAATGAAGCTAGTTTGCTTTCTGGGTGGCTGACAAAGGCAGCACTGAGCTCTTGTTGCTCTCTGCCTCTCTCCTTTCAAGGCTGGAGATAGTGTCGATGCTCACATGAGTCAGGCAGTGGAGATAAAAGTGG